CGCATTTGTATGTGCACACATACAATTTTATATTTGCTGGTTTTTCCCAGGCGCACTCTCCTGTTTGCTAAAATTGAAGAAGGAGAAAAACCCATGAACACATGAATTAAAGAAACGAATGTTGCCAATCAGGACGCAAAGATTTACCGGATTGGCATAAAAAACGTTATTTGTATGCGGATCTATTATCTCGACCCAGACGTCCGATGAGAGTATGGACATATTATGCGGTTTCCGCAAATGAATAAAGAAGGGAAGTGTCCTTAAAGGAAAAAGGTAGTACGGTGAAGTACGATGAATTTGATTTCAACAATGACGAATATGAAAATAGACTAATTTTGGAAATTTGGGATTTTTCTCTTTACTCAGAGAGATGGATACAAAAAGAATGCTTGAATGGCATTAGCCAAAGGTAAAAAAAAAGAAGGTTCCTAACACGTAGGGAACTCCAAAAAAGAATTAAAGTTTATTATCTGCAGGTTGTTATGCATACACAGAAACAAAAAAAAATGTGAAGGTTGATGTTCGTTGAATTAGGAAGAATTTAAACGGATTTCCAGTTGGAAAATTTATGCAAATATGGAAATGTGAGGGCGAAATCCAGAAAAAAAGAAGGCTGGTTGGAAAATTTGATGTTTTAAACTCAACGGCGATGCGCACACAATCGGTTTCCCTTTGGATGGAATTAAGGAGTAAGGGGAAAGGGGAAGATTTTATGGATAGAAAATGAGAGAAATTTCAACTAGAGTTATGCTTAACGAGCGGTCAAATACGACTGGTTAAAATAGTATTAATTTGTAAATATTTATCAATTGATATTATTGAATGTCAACATCCCAAATATAAACGACATCATTCAATCAAATTAATCGACACACGGCAGCCTTTTGTTGATCAGTTTAAGCAACCTGTGAGCACACATTGTACAACGGAAATTTAAGTGAAAGAGGAAGTGAATTCAAACTTCAAATCATAAACTCAAGAAAATATTACCAAAATTCGACGAGTTTGGGTTTTTTTTTTGTTGTGTGAAAAAGAGAAAAGGGAAATTTTTATATGAGGATTAGTTTCCGGCGTCCTATGATAACTTTTAAGGCGCCACACGTGTCACTAAATAAATCTGCGTGAATACGGAAAAACTAATGCACGGGTAAGTAATAAATACTACACGTAACGTAGGATGGTGTCTCGTGAGAAGGCATGATGATTACAACGATTATTCAGTTGATAATGACGATGCTATCAAAATTATCTCGCGTGCGGGGGCCTAACAAATGTTCGAAATAACGAATTACGTATGTGTGTACCTGCTTGATGATGGAAACGAAGCCAAACAGTTTAGCATTTTTCTGGTGTTCCCTTTACGTAATCGCTGCACATCTGCATCTGTAAATTTGATTGGGTGATTTTCTTCCCATCATGTTTATACCAAAATTTTCGATCGATCAACGTTTAATTTCGAAAAAAATTTATAAATGTCGGGACGAGCTTTCAGAAAAGCCATAAACAAAGAGTACGAACTCGCTTCGAAACGTAAGAATGCTGTTGACTCAAATGAGGTGCTAGAGGAAGAGGAATCTGACCACGAACCTCCAAAAAAGAATTTGTTTGATTTGGTAAAAACTTGTTATTGCACGTAACCAGTAAGCAAAAGATAATGAACCACTCTTCATATTTCAATGGACAGCTCAACCAAGACGGTGATGATGTCGAGGATCAAAACTCTGAAGAAAACGAAGATAAAATTCAAGAAAAGGTTGGCTTGCTAATGGGCATAATCTCGTCTCCGCATAAACTTTATGAGATTGGTCTAACTTATGAATATACAACACAAATGTTTAACAAAATTTAAGCCTCCGGTGGTAACAGTATCAACAACACCTTCAAAAAAGAAGAAGAAAAAGAAGAATAAGGGTGCCTCGACAAAGAATATTGCAGAGGAACCGGATAAAAAATCAAAGGCAGGGAAAAAGGTTGAAGAGATGAGTGATACCGAGTTAGAAAGGTTGATCAGAGAAGTCTCGGACAAGTAATGCATA